CGTAGGATAAAATGTCACTACCAGTGGAACCAAAAATCAGCCCAATGTCGAATTTAACCCCTTATAAATATAACTAGCTTGAATAAGCTATCACTGAAGGATTATCGTAAGATTGAAATAACCCACATAGAGCCGATTCGAGATGAATAGAGCCACGAGATAGCTGATTGTACCAAAACAATTTCACGACAAGCTCATGAATAAAACAATGGATATTGGCCCGCTAATATTAACAATTTAACTGGTAATCAGGCAGTTGAATTATCAGACGAGCATGTCTATTCATCGTATTATTATCACCCTCTCCAGTGCTCTTAAATAATTTGCTGCGGAACTGAAAATTAATTACGTCGTTAAGTGGCCAACAAAAGATGGCGGCCGTCAAAACATGGTCTTGTCTTCAGCAAGTAACCGCATAATTTCTTTATTCCATGCTCGCTTTTTTTAATTCTTCCTTTCCTTTAACATTTTTCTGTATCTGGAATAAATAACCTCGGCCCTCAACCAAATAGTTATATCAAAAGAATCAGTCCCAAAAAATCTGAAACCTCATTCACTCAGTGATTTCGTGGTTTGACTAACGCTTTATTACCTACTGGAAGGGGTCACCCATACTTCAGCTTCCACTAGCTTTAGTTCATTTAGTGTTTGTAACTAGTTCATACGAAACTATGTGTCGTTCTTACCTGAATTCTTGTAACTAGCTCAGTTCAGTTTCTCAATACAATGCCACTGGCCTGGCAAAATTTTCCTCATTGTACCCTACAAGGCGTTGCCCGTCTTCATTAGCCCAAATAGATGTAGAAGAGTAGGGCGTTAATCTCCATTCATTTCATTTCCAATTGCTCACCTACCATAGGGACTACCCAAGTGCCCCACTACTGAAGGAGACTCCACCTTCTGATATCGATAAAGATGGGTTACCTTATTTTTTATTTAATGAAAATACTAATACTTAGGCTATATGAATAGACAGAAAAGGTGTTCTAATGATTTGGAAAAATACCAGTTTTTCTCACATGTCCATGATAAATTCATAATTAGCTTAACTTGAGGAGAATTTCCAGCAGAGTTACCGATCAAGAAAGGTGTTTTTTGTTGTTAATCCAGACTGTACATATACTTGGACATTTATGATTGGTTAAAACTCTTATATGCAACAAGAACATAATGATATGATTCAGATTCCATGATAATTCAAAAGTTTGCTGAATTTGACACTAAAAAATAAGGAAACCCATCTTTAACAGGAATTAAATTGACTTACAGAGGATCTCATAATGCAGTCGAGCGCATTGTAATAAACAAACGTCTCGGGAGATCCATTCAAGTCCATGGGCTCCACTCATCTTATTGACCCACTGAAAATAAACTCTATGTAAAGATCTATTGAACACTGTGTCACTGAATTGAAAGAGTCGGTGAGAGTTGGCAGTTCTACATTTTATTCATAGAATGTGCGAGCCCAACGGTTCCAATAACGGAAAATTACGAATCATTGTACCGAGTGTTTAAGTGTCGTCTGCTATTGAAGACCTCGCACGTGCAGAGATTCCTGTTATTAATATGCAGGTTGTAATATGGTGGTGATTTGAATATTGACTGAATGGGAAGGTCACGACTTCTGGTCGAGTTAGGATCTGTTTTCTCAATGGAAATGTTAATCATACACGAGCTTGTATTCTGATCCCCTCATCTTTCTGTCAATCAAATCCTGCTCATTCAGACATAGCCATCAGTTTCCTGGTGAGGATTTCGTATCCAAAACACACTGTCGGCATCATGAGATAAGCTCTACTATTATTATTTTCTCCTATGTAAATGTGTATTTGTAAAAATAAATTCTTGTGGAAGAAGTCTTCCACTTCACGGGCCCAGACTCATGTAGTTGAGCCACTGGAAATCAGAGGTATTATATTGACATTTTCGGCGGTGCAGGCGCGTATCTAGAAAATGCCTGAGGGTCCAAAAAAGAAAGGTCATTCTGATTAGACGAGGGCCAAATGCCTAAAGCTCCTTCAGGACGGGAGCCTGAGGGCTGTTAGAGGCCCCCATAAGCCAACGGATCTCAAATGTCTTGAGATGAAGGCTTTATTTATTCTTCAAACATTTAAATCTGCTACAGTCCTTTGGCCTATGTAGCAATAAAAAAGAGAATTAAAAACCACGCGGGGAACTCCTCCTATGTGCATATTTGGAAACGTTAGCAAAACAAATTAGAAAACGACCGAGGCACAGGAAAATGGAATTAAAAAAATCGAATGGCGTATAATTAATTAAGGTAAATGATATATGAGGTCAATCATGTCAGAATTGAAGGTCAACATGAGAAAGAAATCAAGAAAACTATTTAGGTTAACAACTTGGGATGGTTTCATTCTAGTTGCTTACCTATCTGTACCTTGATCTCTTGGAATTGATCTTTCCTGGATTATCTGCACTCATTTAAAGTCGACTGGGATAATGAGGACTCAGTACCCATTTACAGCTGGATTGACTGGAATCATAAGGAAAGATGACTTATTCAGTACCCATTTACAGCTGGGTCGACTGGAACAATGAGGAAAGATGACTTATTCAGTATTGATTTACAGCTGGGTTGACTGGAATATTGAGGAAAGATGACTTATTCAGTACTCATTTACAGCTGGGTTGACTGGAATAATGAGGAAAGATGACTTATTCAGTACTCATTTACAGCTGGGTTGACTGGAATAATGAGGAAAGATGACTTATTCAGTACCCATTTACAACTGGGTTGACTGGAATAATGATAAAAGATAACTTATTCAGTACTCATTTACAGCTGGGTTGACTGGAATAATGAGGAAAGATGACTTATTCAGTATCACTTTACAGCTGGGTTGACTGGAATAATGATAAAAGATAACTTATTCAGTACTCATTTACAGCTGGGTTGACTGGAATAATGAGGAAAGATAACTTATTCAGTACTCATTTACAGCTGGGTTGACTGGAATAATGAGGAAAGATGACTTATTCAGTACTCATTTACAGCTGGGTTGACTGGAATAATGAGGAAAGATGACTTATTCAGTACCCATTTACAACTGGGTTGACTGGAATAATGAGGAAAGATGACTTATTCAGTACTCATTTACAACTGGGTTGACTGGAATAATGATAAAAGATAACTTATTCAGTACTCATTTACAGCTGGGTTGACTGGAATAATGAGGAAAGATGACTTATTCAGTACTCATTTACAGCTGGGTTGACTGGAATAATGAGGAAAGATAACTTATTCAGTATCACTTTACAGCTGGGTTGACTGGAATAATGATAAAAGATAACTTATTCAGTACTCATTTACAGCTGGGTTGACTGGAATAATGAGGAAAGATAACTTATTCAGTACTCATTTACAGCTGGGTTGACTGGAATAATGAGGAAAGATGACTTATTCAGTATAAATTTACAGCAGGGTTGACTGGAATAATGAGGAAAGATGACTTATTCAGTATCAATTTACAGCTGGGTTGACTGGAATAATGATAAAAGATAACTTATTCAGTACTCATTTACAGCTGGGTTGACTGGAATAATGAAGAAAGATGACTTATTCAGTACCCATTTACAGCTGGAATGATAAGGAAAGATGACTTATTCACTACCCATTTACGACTGGAATAATGAGGTAAGATAACTTATTCAGTATTGATTTACAGCAGGGTTGACTGGAATAATGAGGAAAGATGACTTATTCAGTACTCATTTACAGCAGGGTTGACTGGAATAATGAGGAAAGATGACTTATTCAGTACTCATTTACAGCTGGGTTGACTGGAATAATGAGGAAAGATGACTTATTCAGTACCCATTTACAGCAGGGTTGACTGGAACAATGAGGTAAGATGACTTATTCAGTACCCATTTACAGCTGGGTTGACTGGAATAATGAGGAAAGATGACTTATTCAGTACCCATTTACAGCTGGGTTGACTGGAATAATGAGGAAAGATGACTTGTTCAATACCCATTTACAGCAGGGTTGACTGGAATAATGAGGAAAGATGACTTGTTCAATACCCATTTACAGCAGGGTTGACTGGAATAATGAGGAAAGATGACTTGTTCAATACCCATTTACAGCAGGGTTGACTGGAATAATGAGGAAAGATGACTTATTCAGTACCCATTTACAGCAGGGTTGACTGGAACAATGAGGTAAGATGACTTATTCAGTACCCATTTACAGCTGGGTTGACTGGAATAATGAGGAAAGATGACTTGTTCAATACCCATTTACAACTGGGTTGACTGGAATAGTGAGGAAAGATGACTTATTCAATGTTACCAGACTTTCATTGAAGATGATTGTGTTTAATGCTCATCATCTAGAACATGATGTTTCAACCTGGGGGCAAGTTTTGGGGGTAATGAGGCGCTTTGTTGTGGAACAGATTTTATTAGACAGTTATAATTTAAGTCATTCTATTCAGTCAGGCTATATTCTCCGACATGAAAAACATTGCAGGGAAAAGCTTAGAGAAAATCGTGAAAATAGGATGGAAAATGGGTAATACAATCAACCAAGGGTATTGAAAGTTTTAGAAGTTTTTAAGGACCTAATTAATTCAGATTAGTATTAGCTGGTAAGCAAAAGACAAGATGTCTGACGAAGTGTAGATTTTTAACGTTTGCCGCTTTGAAGTCTGAGCAGATGAGTAGCATACGACCATGACGTCAGAAATGTATCAAAAATGTTGATCACCCCTAAAATATAAATTGTCGTCTGTCATAAACAGTGATTGACAGATGGGTAAATGACCAGAAGGTCAGCACGAGGAGTCTAAATAATGAATTATTACGAAACAAAAGAGTAAATAAATCCCCTTCAATGACCCTAAGATTGATTATGGCACGTCTCGACCCCTGACACTACAATTAAATTATGAGTTGCGAAACACACATGACGTTGATTTGTACGTTTTTGTTTTAAAAAGGAAGACGACTACCGCCGAAAGAAGATAAACGAACATTACTGTGTGATCCGGCGTCTGTAACGGTCATTTCAAACGTGAGATACTATAGATAGGCCATGAGGGAACTTATTTTTTTACTATATTGTACTGCCATTGTATACACTGCAAGTAAGTAATTGTTTCTATTTAATTCTGGGTGTGGCACAATGCTTGATTATTAAATTCTAACATCGAAAGTCAGTAATTTTTTTCATATTTTAGTGGGCGTTGATCACTTTGTGTGGGTAATTTGTTCACACCTGTACTTAAATTTTCAGTTTCGAATGCTATTGCCACGTGCAAGAGTGTCATGTATATTCTCGGGGGCAGGGACATGTCATTCTACTAGTCATTGTACTATAATTTCTTAGTCCAAATGTTATTAGCACCTGCAGTGGGTATTTTTGATTATGGTGGAGAGGGGGCAGGGACATGTTAGGTTTTTTATTTCTCTGTTTCCATATTTTGAAAATACACGTCTTTGTAGAATTCATATGTCTATATTTCAGGATGTCAGGGAATGGGATTCGGAGAGCCTGTACCAAGTGTTGGAATTTCTCAAAACCAACAGGATGCTCTACTAGCTTTACTTGGTAAGCGAATTTAGATTTATTTACAAGTTGTTTGAGGAAATCGGCAAATAGGATCAAAGCATCGTCTCTTTAGTATACATTACATGTATTACATAATCATCGCGTCTCTGTTACAGCTTTTATTAGGCACCGAGACGAGGTAATGAATTTTCATGACTCCACGTGTCTCAGAAACTAGCCAATCAACACAATTCTACGTATAGTAATTTTTTGTAAATGTACACACGCACGAGACTGGTGAATTTTACATGAGTTTGGCTAACCCAAGCATAACCATCCACAGAAAGACTAGTCATTAAATGTTTCCCTCGAAGATTTCAATTGGTTGTATTCGCTATACGTACAATCCAAATAACTGGCTGCATTTACAAACCTTTGTGATACAATAAAGGTGGCTATTGTAGTCAAGGTATCAGAGGTAGTTCGTAATAGTTTTACATTGTGAATTTGAGGTGAGCTTTAAACGCGATGCCAATTTGTCCGTGTTCTTTTCAAATAGAATTGTATATATACTTGACTAAAATGATTTCAAACAACTGAAAGATGTGCGCTAATTCTGACCAATCATAAGCCTCTAGCATCACTGGAAAACTTTATTTAATGACTTGTATTAGGTATAATAAAACGATTAATCATAAATCTAATTAAAAACTCGATATCCATTGTTTTAATGCTTCGACATCTACTTACGCTTTTATGTGTACATGGGATGTTTCTATGCTCTTCCACTCTAAACCGATAACTCTATTAACCGAAATTGTCCCAGTCCAGTAGGTATACGAAACTACGTATGGTTGTTACATGCAAATAACGCACACGAACGTAGTTCACAGCCATTTTGAATCTCTACCTCGACTTATTAAGTCGAATTTAAAAAGGCAATATTTCAACAAAGCCTTCAAATCACAGTTTAAGGTGTAGAGATGGCTTTAAATGTGATTTGAAAGATGTGTTGAAATATTGCACCCCTTTTAAGAATTCGACTTATTAAGTGGAGGTTGTGATTCAAAATGGCTGTGAACTACGTTCGTGTGTGTTATTTCCATGTAAGAACTTGAACCACACGTAGTTTCGTATGACATAAATTTGGCTGTCTGTCTTACCCTAACACATGTCTTTAATTTGCCTTCCCATATTTTCAGCACCAAACCATCATCAATCAGGACCCAGACCATCCAATAACATCATGGGTCATCTTTCTGTAGGCAATAATCAAAACCCATCGTCAAACCATCAATCCAACACTCAGTCTTCTACCATAGGTAAGGTACAGCCTCAATTAATGAAGATGAAGAAAATTACTCGATGTCACTTTTTACCAGGCTTTGTCAATCGGAGAGTCTAAATTGCTAATATTGTTTATTTAGTACAATCATCATACACTTTTATTGGTAAAGAGGAGGGAATAGTACAAATTAGTTTAGCTAGAAACATTTATAAAACAGAATCTCCGAGTAGACTACAATTCAACAGTGAGTGGCATAGCGAGGTTTTCATTGTGGAGGGGACCATACCAGCACCGCGACTTTCCTTCATGGATTACCATTCACAAAACTTTCAAGATGAGTAATTTATCTCAGCATAAGATGAGCATGAAAAACAGTAAATGTAAATATATAACACCCTCAGAATTGGTAAATTTGACTATGAAGCTATTTCAAATAATGGCAAACCCAGTATTATGATTCAGAAGCCTGATTGAGTATGCCGTTATGTATGATCTACTATATTTTTATTTTCTTTTAGGACATCCTGGGTTTGATATGCACAGCCTGATAGAGATGATCTCCGGAGGACCAACCGGAAGCACAGGGCAGTCTTCCACGAAACGTGGTCCACCCTCCAATGTGCAATCAAACTTCCATGACCCAAGTCAAACATCTTCTCAAAGTGGCACTGGGTTCAACCCCCAACACCAGTCTGGAAACCAAGGTGGATATTTTGATATCGTTCCCGAACCTTCCCAAACCAGCAACTACGATCCTGCACCATCGGCTTCATCAGGCAGAAATCGGCAGGGCAGTTTCCACGATTCCACTGGATTCTCATTGCCTCAACCAAGTGGAAGCAGACACAATGGCCCCTCCCGCAATTCTCATACCCAGGACCCAATGATTGCAGCTCTAGAAAGAGCACAGAAGCAACCTTCCAATTCAGGTAAAGCTCGCTTAAAATGTTTAGACTGGAGATAGGTGATACACTGTTGCATGTAGGAAATGTCTAAAGCGAAATGGGTGGGGGCAATACCCCTTGAGACCAGCTGCAAAGGTTTCCCAGAAGTCAACGGATTTTAGTTGACCTAATATGAATTATGAGCATTTTGAGAAATAAGATTTAAATACAACACCGGTGATTCACGTCGTGTAGTGTTTACAATCAAGAGACGTTAATAACATTATGTTTCTTTCTTATTCATTTAGCAACACTTAGGGACAAAGATAATTCATTTCACCTGACGATGACAATGTAACTTGTGGGTACTATTAAACTAAGGAGTAGTGTGTCTTATAATTTTGTTTCGTTCTTTAATGTTCCTTTCTTGTTATTTTCAGGAATGAATCAAGGAAATCTGCCAGGAAACGCTTTACCAGAGATGTTCGGATCACATCCATGTAAGTAGAGCCACCATTGTCTATATTATTTTTATTATCTTGGATGTTAAAGCGATTGTAATAAGTTTTCTTAAAAGGTTTTATGACTCTTGTATATATATTACTAGCAGCATCAGTGAAAGTTTCGCCATAAAAGCTTCGTTATAGTGGAATTAAAAGAACCATAGACGTCTGACTGGAAATTGGAATAGTGCATATTGAAACTATCAGTGTCCTGGATACACATGTAAATGTTTTGAAAACCTCTTTACAAACCAAAATTAAGTGTATTCTATTGGTAGCCATAATCAAAGTTATGAAGCTTTTCTAGAAATATGTTTTTCCAATTTCCAATTCACTGTGAGTTCCATTCTGATAACTGATCAGTTCGTTAGATAGGCTTGGTATGCTCACTCTTGCGGAAATCAGCATCTCCATCATAGAATTTATTCTAGGAGCTCATCTTGTAAATTCCTGAGAGGTATATGGGAAGGAGAGGTGAACATTTAAATTTTTCAAGGATACAACTTAGTTTAATAGTTAAGGATTCTTCTTAGCACCTGGTCTTTGGACAAAACCCTTGGCATTGAGAGTCCACACAGCCAATAATGTTTGTTTCGTACAGGGCCCGCTACTTATTAACCCATTCTGAGAGTTCACACAGCTAATAATGTTTGTTTCGTACAGGGTCCACGACTTATTATCCCATTCAGAGAGTTCACACAGCTAATAATGTTTGTTTCGTACAGGGTCGCAACTTATTATCCCATTCAGAGAGTCCACACAGCTAATAATGTTTGTTTCGTACAGGGTCGCGACTTATTATACCATTCAGAGAGTTCACACAGCTAATAATGTTTGTTTCGTACAGGGTCGCGACTTATTATACCATTCAGAGAGTTCACACAGCTAATAATGTTTGTTTCGTACAGGGTCGCGACTTATTATACCATTCAGAGAGTCCACACAGCTAATAATGTTTGTTTCGTACAGGGTCGCGACTTATTATACCATTCAGAGAGTTCACACAGCTAATAATGTTTGTTTCGTACAGGGTCGCGACTTATTATACCATTCAGAGAGTTCACACAGCTAATAATGTTTGTTTCGTACAGGGTTGCAACTTATTATCCCATTCAGAGAGTCCACTCAGCTAATAATGTTTGTTTTGTAAAGGGTCCACGACTTATTATCCCATTCAGAGAGTCCACTCAGCTAATAATGTTTTGTTGATATGTTTCAGTAAGCGGTAAGACTTCAGGTAATTCAGTATTCGGATCGTTATTAAGAAATTCCCAGTCTTCCGGCCACCCTACCGGCTCAAAGCAAACCATCCATAAAAACCCAACTTCAAGTATCTTAGGTAAGACCTTGGTGTTTTATTACTTAGATCTTAAATGGAATTCGAAACTTCTCACACTGTAGTTGAAATGGTGCAAATGGATGCTACAGATATCCCCGACACACAAAAGCTACAAAACGGCTGTATTTACATCCAACGCCTATTTACTCCGACAAAAAAAAGTGGTGAACAGGGTGTTCTTTATATCTGTTCAATATCATTAATAGGCTCTTTTACAATTTCTCTTTTCATTGTTATATAGGCAGTAAGTCAGGAGCTTCGGCCACCTCGTCTACTTCCGGTTCGTTACCAAGTGGTGCCGTATCTCAAGGATCGTCCGCACCTAAAGCTTTTCGACCACCGAACGTGTTCCAGATGAAGATGCAAGCCAAGATGTATAATATGAAGGCAGCTAAAATGGCCCCAATCATGCAATTGTATGAACAAGAAGGATGTATTAATCCAATTGCTTTCCTCCCTGCCAACATCTTGGAAGGTGCAAAATCAGCCTTTTCAAATGGATGCCAAGATCCCAATACCAAAAACTACTGTAATATGGCCCAACTCAAAACACCGGGATTCACACCTGCCAGAATGAACACCCAAATTCTTCTACAGTCTATGCTAACTCCGGAATCGAAGACACGAATTGGATCTATGTTATCCAAAATGTCGCCCTCCAATATGATGAGCGGTGGAATGAGTGGTATGATGGGATTCGGCGGTGGAGAAATGATCAATGCTGAAATGTTGGACCGTGTGATGAAATTACGACAGAGGTTATTCCCCTTAGAATGTAATGAAGTTGTTTTGACGTCCATGTTTAAAATCGGCACGTGCTGTTATGGAAAGGGTATGTACACAGTTATCTCCCTTTTATCAAATTCAGTCGCGAAAATAGATCGAAACATCTTACTCTATTCCAGCCTCTGATAGATATATAGAAAGTTATCGCCTGGTGTGGGTCTGGTCTTCTGCAGCCGATAACTGTCAACACAGATTATGTTTATGAATTAGCCCTTTGGGTTTGTCGACTCGGTATCCCTTTCAGAGTGTCTGATAATACTTATGTAGTGTTTGGAGACTGTGCCCTCTATTCAGGGAGTCTACATACCTTATCCAACATTACTATAGTATTTTGACTTTAAAACTCTATATGCCTTTGAGTGAGTTTTAAAACCCTACCACTCAACCGCAACAACCAGAAATGATTTCTTTTAGGGATTAATGGATCGTGTATCTAGGCGTAGTAGGGCGATATTCGCAATAGCGGTGGTTCGGATTTAAAACCCATCACATGGTCAATAATTTGACGGTTATTTCTATAATTATTTTTCATTATTTTCTTGTATTTCAGTTCAACTCCCAGAGAGATACATCATGTCGCAGTTCCTGTCTAGATCTTTTGGTGCCAAATAATCATTTTAAAAAATGGTTCTTCAAAACACAATCAGAGGTTTAAGGAGCCTGATAACGATCACTAGTTGTTTATGGTTGCGAATAAGAATATTAGTTATAAGTTTCGAACGCAATTCCCATATTACTGAGTTGTGAGTTGCAAGTTGCGTTCGAAACTCATGGTCACTATCATTATTCGTAACCATTTGTTTTTATTACTCTTGAGAAATTAGCGATTGTTCCTACCTTTTATAAAGATATAGGAATAGCCTTAAAGGGATATAGCCGACAAGCACGACTGATAGAGTTTAGAGTTTTAGATTGATAAATTCTCTATGTAGGTAAATAAACTGTATCCTTTATACGATTGTATTGTATATAGAATTGTTATCAGTAGTGTAATTGTTAACATGTTTTGAATTTTATAATAATAAACATATATCATATTGTTGAAACGTTATCTTTACATCGTCAGTGAAGACTCGGTCTGCTTCTGGTGGTATTACGAACTGCATCTAATAGCTTGACTGCAATAGCATTGAATCAAACCTTTGTCGACAGTTTATAAAGCTAGGCTTTGATTGGCTGTGTTCACTAGCGTACAATCTAAACAAGACATTACAAGACACAAGAAAGATGGCTTTTGTAGTCAAGGTATTAGACGAAGTTCGTAATAGCTTGACACTGTAAATATTGAAAAATAAAAGTGTCTTATGAAGTGCAATCCTTTCGCAAACCACAGGTAAGACCCCATTTTAGTATAGGTCACAAGAGATGGCAGGGGGGATTCCATACAGTCCGTTTCATTGAAGATATTGCCAATTCCGACCTCACAAAACTAGTCATTTATGGCCAGGACCAATAATACCCGTTGCAAAACACTTTTACACAAACGTCCTGTGAATTTAATTTGTGCGAACTTGTCAAATCAGCAACCCATTATTGTCAACCATTGCACTAAAGAGTTTTAAAAAGTATTTGACAGGGAAAGAATAACATGGTTTTTCTACAAATTGTGTTTTATTTGATTATCCAGGATGTATGATGAATGATGATGATGATGTACAATGATAAATGATTCAAATCAATAATAAAAACCCTAATATCACCACCAATAATGAATGATATATTGACATATTGGCCCTCTCACTAGACAGGTGCCCGTTTTACCAGCTACCTTTTTTTAGAGTCAATGGTTGACCTTTGGCGAAGACACAAAACTTGAAAATCGACAATCGACTATAATCCATCAAGTATCATGTCACCAAAAATATCTTTATATACTTATAAATAGAATAAATCCCATTGCCCCCAGGCGTCACTTCCGTTTGTATATTTATGATGAGCCGAATCTACGATTGGGGCATAAACCCAGATTCTTCTTGTTAGGATCATGCTTTGCTTTTCTTTCATTTATATTTCGAACTTATGATACAACGCACTATTTAAAGGTGCCCTCATACCTTAGCGATTCCCAGTTGCGTATGGTGGCGAACAAAGCAAGTGATCGTGAGAATCGAACGCAACTCAAAACTCAGTTGTATGAGAGTTGTGTTCGAAACTTATGTCCGTTATTCTTATTCGCAACCATACACAACTGGTGATCGCTCTGATGTAAGGGCCCCTTTAACAAAACATTAGCACATATCAATTTATCAAAGAGAAGATATTCTTATCGGCTCCTACGCCTGGGAGTTTGAAAACAAATTCTATAGTCGTTCACTTCCGATTTAAAGTGTTATTCATGTCTTTAGGCCATTATTTCGGAGAATTTACTCCATTTTGCGTACATCTTTGCCGATTTGATGGAATTGGAGCTAACTGAAAAATACAAAAACACAATCTGTTAAAAAAACACAATAGAAAAACCTAATAAAGAGTGTGTAAATGACGATTTTAACACCGACTTTTTGTCCGGACATTATTCCTGAGTCTACATTATTACGACAGATGTGCTCGATCTATTCCGTTCTTACTGAAATGATAATCAAAAACGGTGGTTTGATTTACATTACAACAATAGGCGTATTTGGTTTACAGAACAGTACTATGTTCCAGAACCAACGTGTGTATTTGTATCCAAAACGTGTGCACCGTATTTGAACCTGCAAAATGGAATAAAATTTGGCTATACTCAGCTATGTGCAGCTCACAAAAACAGAGGTCCTGTGCGCCATTAAGCTTCGAAAAAGCTTCTAAACTATCGAACATCCAATTCAACATTTAAATCATTGCGTGTCCCCGAAGTCTTAATAATCCTTAGAATTATAAAATATATTTACCATAATATGGGCAGCACATTCCGATAATTCCCACTTGTAAACATTTAGTCATGGGTCTAGTGTATGGACAAATATCTTTCTGGGTGGTACAGCCCATGGGCAGGATAGCTCGTAATGGTGATTCGTTATCCAGCGATCTGTGGCAGCCCAGTCTCTTAGCAATTTTCATATCTTGTAGGGTAGCCAGGCCTCTCTGTAGGGCTGGGGATCTGTACGCCAGCATTTTTAACATTCTGCCCTTGGGACCAGCCACTAAGTTGGCCAACCCTGTCAACTGTGCCTGGTTCACTGAAAAATCGAGATTGCATAAGAATTGATAGTTTGTCTAAAAGATCATTTTAATCTATAAACATTTCGTTTAATGTTTTACACATTTGAATCCCTAAATTGAAACGGGTGAAAAAACTAAAACAAAACGAAAAAAAAAGTTCCAACAAATCGCAGCGCCACAAGAAAGGCAGGACATATTTACAATATTCATGATGCAAATCTGCAAGGGGATTTCTGAAATCATCGCCCTTTTCAAACCGCTTCAATTATATGATCCAAAATCATTTCGTGATAATAGATTTCTTAACCATCGCAAATAGTTCCCTTTATTTAAAGGACATTAAATGCTCTAAATAACACCTTTGAACCATTTCAGCAATACTTTCATTGACTTTAAACCTTGCCTTTATGCAAAATGAAAAGTTCTTTATTAATGAGATGCTTTAATGTTGTTCCAAATTTCCAGGCATCTATCTGTATCTACCTTGCAATTATCACAGGAGAAAATAAATGATACAGAATAACCCTTGGAAGTTAGGGAACTCTTAATGCCACCTTATGCTGAATCTATTAACATAATTAACACAAAAACAATTGAACTGAACTAGAGAGCTCATGGTGCCACTATACAGTTGCCGATTACATTTGAATTTTTTATTCTTATTTCATAACAAATTAGTATAAAATTTAAATATATGCATAGAGCAATCATTTCAACTCTTCAACTCAAATTGAGATGTAATGCCGTTTGAAATGAACCCTGGAAAAACAAATATCACTAGAACTACAAAATAGAGGCCAGTTCCTTACCAGCAACGAATGCTAAAAACATACACAGAAGAATCCAGATTTTAATATTGGCCATTGCGAAAGATGTTATTTCATCCCAGTCCAGATACACACCGTAACGATCTCTAGTCCGCACCGAATTGGAGACGAAGCAAATATATCCAGGCTTTTATCTCTCCACAATCGTGTCTTAATACTGGTTATTACTGACAAAAAAGCAGTCACGTGACGTTCATTTTTTCACAAAACGCAGTATTTTGTTGACAGTTAGATGATGTATTTTAGAAATTAACGAAAGACCTTTACAATCAGCGGCAGCACCCGTGGGGGGTACAAGGGAGGAAAAATGGTGTGCAGCTCCATTTGTAACCCAACTTTATTTTTGACAAATTTGAAAATGTGATTTTCATACGTTTTCACAACAATATATGTGTTAAAATACACCAAATTTATCAACCCTTCGAAACTTTCGTGGGTGAACCCTCTCAGAGACTCCTTGCGACTATGGCGCCTTCAAAGAATTGCGGTATTTTGCATTCAGTTTCAACAGTTATCCCCGATTGAGCCAGTCTGCCCCCTATTTGTACCCCCAACCTCGGGAGGCTGGTGTCGCCACTGTTCACAATCAAGTTATTCTGGTGTTTAGTCACACATAAATTACATCTTAACGACCCTCTATCATTCATACTTATACCGCTATATTTTATAAAAACTTGGGATGAAGTTGTCCGGTTCTCATGGATATGAGGTCTTACCCTGGTAATAACTGAAACTTAATCACATGGAGATTTACGACCTACTTTTCTCAATCTGATTCAATAACCTTACAATTTATTTTTCTTTTTTCTGGTTTATTTCGTCTCCGTTGTAATCTAACAAGTTTGCTACTACAGTCCTTTTTTAATGACGTTATTTCTTTAACCAATCAAAGCGTGTACGACCCGTTTCTCGATAACTATATGTATGTCGAATTGTGGGATAGCGATACCTCAGGTAGAGCAATATCGTTCGCTATCCCACAACCATTGAAAAAGAAGTGAATTTGCAGTCTCATTTTGATTAGATTGTAGGCTATATTGTAGGCTACTTTTCTGAATATGGTTGTTAGGGCAATTCAGTCTACTCATTTAACATTTCAACTGTCGAGAGATTTTTAACGTGCACAGCTTATAGCACGGTTTATTGTCCCATCCGAACGACTCTGTCCATTCTGCCCTTGGGACAAGCCACTAAGTTGGCCAACCCTGTCAACTGTGCCTGGTTCACTGAAAAATCGAGATTTTTCCATGTCAGCCCCTCTGAACTATATCACTGACAAGGGGAAACGGATTGAAAAATCCAAAGGTTTCATCTCCAGAATAAAACCCAAACCTTTAAGATAAGCTTGCGTCATAATGGGGCAGAGATCACGGTCGCTAGAAATTCCTTCATTAAATTTATGACCGTAATGAGTCTGTGCTTGACGTCACTTCCGCTTTAGTTGCCACACAGACTGTCAGGAGGCCAAAAACTGTCGCTGTTCTGTCGATTGATGACGGTCTGTACAACTATAGGAAACATGAACATGTCAACATTAGCAAACGTCAAACAACATCGCCAATCCTAAACATGCAATTGAAAGAGACAACCAACGTCAACTAATTTGCATCAAAACACGAACAAGAATAACTTAAATAACTCTATTTATAGAAACCCCAAGACTTTGATCATAGAGAAGATACTCAACACCTATAGGCTATACATGTCTTTCGTGATTTTCCTAATTTGTCAATATTGCTTCGACTATAATGATTTTGTTTTCATATGAATAAATTCCATACAAGCAAGACAATACCGTCAATCAAAATTCTCGTCCAATTTAAGGCAAAATTGAGAGTAAATGTTGTATAGTAATGGACACTTCTAAAGAGAAGTACCATCAGGTCTTTCGAAAAGATGGTCTGTTTCGTACGACATCCGCCACTACTCAAATGTAATAAGCGAAGCCAACAGTGGAATAAGGGGCAAAATGATACCTGCGGTAATTTTTGCAGCCTAGTTTTCTCTGTCAATGATTTAAGTCGAAGTGGCTGAAAACTTTTAGTCGTTCGGATGGGACAATCGGGGAGCCCGTGTGATACAGGCTGTGCAAGTTAAACGTCACTCGACAGTCACCGAATGTTCCTCTGAATTGGATTGGTTTGAAAATCGATAATCCATAATATGAGCATGACCCCCATTTGCACTATCAACTTACTGTAAAGTAGGTCGTGATTTTTGCTCAAGTCCTTGCTTCTGGTAAGGCTGGTGGGGGTTGATTTAGTACCAATTTTTCTATAACGTTACCATAGGGTGAAGTGAAGCCGACCCTCCACTCGCAAATTATTCCCCATCCCGCGCTCCCCGCCCCTGCCCCCCATCCTAGTTTAAACTCCATTCCTGACAGTGAGCCTGTTTCGTAAAGTACATGGTTAGGAATTCGACATTTATGAATTCGAGGGTCATAAAACTTTATCCTAACTAATCCAAATAACTCATCGTGTCAAATATGGATGTACTTTTTTTAATTTTCTCAAATGATTTACAAGATTTTACAATTTGAATGAAATGTGTAGTTTCTTGTTTACGTCGCGTCAAAAGCATGTCGTTTGTTACAAGAAAAATAACTGGCTGTTGCGTGAATGTCAGCTATGATCTTGAGATTCTTTGCGTTTTGACAATTACTGGTTGAATAAAAGACCAATGGATTTAGGTTTGACTTTATGGTAGGGTACAAAACTCTATTTTATAAGCTCATTAAATTTCAGACCATTGGGCGTACAACATCATGTTAATAACAAAACACTAATATATAAACTATATAGGGTACTATTCAATGTGAATATGGAATTACATAATTGAATAATGAATAATGGAAGGGAGAAAACCCTTGATAAATTGTGAAGGGATGATCTAAACAGTAAAGAACATCTCATTAATAAACTAAAATTTAAACCCCTACTTTGCAGACCATTGGGCATTCAAATACAATACATGTTTTATAAATCCCCAAATTGGTGGTTTGAAACCAGGAACATCATAAACATAGTTTCGGAAGTATACTATACTGTGATTGATCGATCGATTTGAAATATCACAAATCAGAATATCAGCTTGTCGACAGGATCATCCTTTAAAACTGTCATTGGCCAACCTTTTCTAAGGATAACCAATCAGAAATACGTACATTTCGAATTTTAGGACGACAAAGTTCAAGGTAAAACTGGCCAGTAAAACTCACGCAAGGTTCTTACATATATTGTCCGGTTAATAGCTAGTTATAATGAAATATGAATAAATTACAAACTGGACAAGGTGTTTGTTCACCTTGAAACGGGCACATACATCAGTTTAATAGGATAATCTGTTGACACTTTGGACAGTATGGTGATTATTATTCACACCTTGACCAACTTCAAATTTTACACGGCGTAGGCCGACTGAGTATGGATAATAATCTAAGATGGAGTCGTACTTTCTGATATATTCCACAGCCCTAGATACTGGAGGCGGTTGTGAAATTGGTGATCACAGAAAATTCACTCAGTAAAGCACAGTTTACGGAACGCTTAGATTCGAATGAACCCCTCTGGTATATCCTATGTCACTTAAAATGAAGCCCATTAAATGCTCAAAAAATTAATCGCAGGCAGTCGGCAGTCCGTTGGCTTCTGGAGGTCTCTGGCAACCTTCAGACTCATCTGCATTTTCTAGATATGTTCAAATTACATTTGTCAGATTGATTTCGCCTTTAGAGAGTCCAAATTGATTGACCTACCATTCATCACCTACCATGTATAAACCACAAATCATAAAACAAAAAATGCATGCGTCTGTCAAAATTCAAAACACGACATTTAAATATATATTGTGATAAACAGGTAAATCACTCACACTGTCTTGCTGTCAATAAAAAAGAGTAGATACGTCAATACTCTAGGTTGTTGTCTCTTCGTAACCTGCATCACCTAACTCGGTTACCCTTTAGAGAGTGGTTCACTGTTATACTATTGCCTGTCTATAGAAACACCAGACATCACCAAACTGTGGATTATATTCTAGAGAGTGGTCCACTATTTTACTATTGCCTGTCTATAGAAAAAACCAGACATCACCTAACTCTGGATTATATTCTAGAGAGTGGTTCACCGTTGTACTATTGACTGTATATAGACATCACCAAACGCTGGGTTATACTCTAGAAGATGGTAAACTGTACTTTTGTCTGTTAATAGAAACACCCGGGGTTATATTCTAGAGAATGGTCCACTGTTGTACTATTATATTGCAGAGAGTGGTTCACTGTGTACTATTGTCTGTTTATAGAAACACCGGGCATCACCTAACTCAAGGTTATATTCCAGAGAGTGGTCCACTGTTATAATATTGTCTGTTTATAGAAACATCAGGAATAACCTGACTCTGGGTTATATTCTAGAGAGGGGTTGTACTATTGTCTGGTTACAGAAGCACCGGTCACCAAACTCTGTTGTACTATTTTACTATAGGAATACCTCATCCAGCTAATATATACATCAGTTTCATAATTCTCAAAATGATATGGGTGACTTTTACAAAATATCTATGACTTGGCATAGTAAATAGCTAGACGGCTATATCTCTTTAAAAATCTGAAGAATTTGGTTCACGAGAGTGGCAAGAGGTAATAAATTTCAACTATAAAAGTCAGAATTTGGACGAATATTTGTCAAAGAAAGTTGATAATTAAACAAAAAAAAAAATGCATAATTGAAAAATGATGGTGTATTCTTTGATATCTATTGTTTCCTTTTGCTATACAAAGCTCCGACACATCAAAAAGTACAATGGAGTATTTATTCTATATGATACTCATTTGCAAAAGCTATGTAGTAAACAACTTATTCATACCCTGTTTATTATAAAACATATTAAAGATGGGGTTTCCTTATTTTTTAGTGTCAAATCAGGCAAACTATTTAATTAATTGGTGCTTCTAATGAATTACATGTATCATGTGTTCTTATTGCATGTCTATGTATGTACAGTCGGGGTAAACAAAAAAAGACTTTTTGACCTTTCTTGATCGGTCACTCATTGGAATTCTGCTGGCAATTCTCTTCTCATTTAGCTAATTATGAATTAATTATGGACATGTGAAACAAACCGGTATTTTTCCAAGTCATTAGAACAATTACTTTCTATTCAAATAAGTATTAGCATTTTCATTTTCATAAATGAAAATAAGGGAACCCATCTTTAAACAATCTAACAGGCCTGTAGCTACAGAAGGGTAAGGGGTGGGAGACAATGCTCTCCAGAACAAATTGATTGTTTGAAATGGCGGCCTCCATTGAATGATTGAGAATGTTGCCGTTTTGCATCACCCCTTTTTTAGATAAGCCATCGCTCTGGAAGGTCGAGGTAGTGCCAGATTTGTCGGGTTAAAAGTTACTGTGGATGGTGTCGTTGGAAACACCTCTGTCCTCTACGACTGAGTTTGTGAACTCGACATTCCTTTCGGAGAGTAAATATGATCAATAATGTTTACTTGGTATATTTGTCATGTAACTTTGAGAATTTTATTCAAAAATCCTGTTATTTGTTCAAATAACGAATATTGGCGAGCAAAGGTTGAGCCGACTGAAATCTTGAGATTGATTTATGCCTGTCTAATCGAGACTACAACTACTCTGTCTTCCAGACAGGTAATTAGTATACGGAAATGATATTAATGATAATCATCTGAAACAAGTTCTGTTTCCGCTTATTCTAATCGTCTATATTTTTTTATAGTCGCGTCTGAATTTATAATGAAGCTGGAATGTTGACGAATATATTATAATACATACTTAAAGGTTACTTTCTTTTTGATAGATCGCTAACTCTGACACTTCCCCTAAAATATTCTAACGACGACAGAAAATTAAAGGGATTGTAGAGATTTTCGAAATTTTTATGTGTATTGAGACACTAATAGCATAGATTTACACCATTCCAATTTTCAATCAGACGTCTTTGGTTCCTGCAATTCCAATAAAACTAAGGGTCTTACGTGATAACGCATATTTTGCGATAATTGACGTCATCAAACACTAAGTTTTAGTGGAATTGCGGGAACCAACGACGTCTGATTGAAAATTGGAATGGTACAAATTGATGCTATCAGTGTTCCCAATATACTGATAAAATTTTTAGAAAACCTTTTCACAATCCCTTTAAGTTAAAAATCTATTAAAGATATATCCTTCTTTTAGATTGAAGTTTTAATTGTTGTTTAGTGGATGTTCTTTACAGTCTTTAAATCTATCAAAATTTAAAAAAAAAACCTGATTCGTGTTGCCGTCATTCTAATTGTGGACTCAATTTGTTATTTTCTCAATTTTAAAATATTTGACAGTCGGTCGTTTATGTCTTGTCTTCATTAACCCTGTAAAGATGCGAAAGGTTGTAATTTCAATAGCTCAACAACGTACATAGCCATGTAAATGTGCAATGGTGTCCGATGCGGTGTACGGTGCGGGATTATCGATACAGTAGAATGACACGTACCTCATGTGTTCACGTCGTCTACTTTCGTTTGTATCGATTATTCCGCACCGTACTCCGCACACGTCTATTCGCCGCTCAAGATGTAAGCACCACTCCACAGCCTGACATTGAATAGGGAATCTTTGGCAAGGACTAGCTGGTAGACAAGATTCTGGTGTTTTCCTTCTTTCTTAATAAGAAATACTCAGAGGACTCATTGAGTACGTGAATGTATTTTGAAATGCCGATTAAAGATCTCTTGACCCACCAAAAAAGAGTTAGCCATTTCCATTGCCCTTTCAAAATTTCCTTCATTGTGCAATGAACCGTGTCTTCCATTTCATTAACCAAATATCAGCATCGAAATAGTAGGACGTTAAATTCTATTCACTTTTAAATGGTATTCTAATGAATGAAATATAAGATGCAAGAACGAAAGGGACATAACTATGTAATTGACGAAGATATTTCGGACTACAAATAACTCTTAAGTTTAATTGCTACAATCTATTCATAAAACAATGGCGTACTATGTCCCACTGTTCTGCCATTGGACTAATAAAGACGGTAAAATATCGTTAATAAATCACGTTAATTCTTACTGACTAAAACCCTTCTAAACTGGCACCCCTATCAACTGGCATCCCCACAGACTATTGCTGGTTTAGACTGAAATGAGAGTGGAAAGGGCTACAGAAACAGAGTTTCTGGTTATATTTTTGTGTCGTCTACAAAAGCGTAAGTAAATGTCAATGGAGAAATATTCAATAACCCATCAATTGGCATCGATTTTTAATTCCATTCATCATTAATCACTAGTAGGGTCTTATTTTAATGCCGGGTTGCGGTTTATAGGGTAGCCGGTTGAAGCTGTCAAAACTAGTTCACTGTACAGCATTATTTACTGGATTGTCGAAAGTGGTGCTCTGGAGAAAGGAAGCATCCTGGTCTCTACAGGAGAATGAGGCAGATAAAACCAACCAAGCAACTTTGTCTGTTTATTTCAAATATATCTTACACCAAGTGCAATTTTTAGTAGAATGCATACCAAGTTGGTATGTAGTAGCAATACTCGTAATAAAAACATACGAGTAGCGTCCCTTGATTTATTGGAAACAACAAACCGAGGGGCCTGTGTATTACAGGTTGTGCCGTTCCGTTCAAACCTCTTTGAATAGAAATGGGAAGAGTAAACAATACTGCTGTCGGACACGAATCTTGACAGACAGATTGTAAACAAGAAGCCATAATAATAACAGTCTGTTATAAAACATTTTATAAACATATTTTCACATCTCACCACTTTCCAAAACTTCGACAAAATCAGTAGCCGTGCATTGTACGACAGAAACCACCAACAAATTTCATCATCAGAAACAAAAACAATCCACTGCTATCATCAGCCACACATCTTAACTCAAATAAAATTATAATTGGACGATGCATTATCAGCTGTCCCATTATCTCCGGATTTTTAAAGTTCATCAACATATGACGAAAAGATGTGGCTTGAGTTGGTCACACTAAATCTATGCTGGTTCATAAGGAATCACTCATTCCCTCTACAGTTCGCTGCATCATCTTGAACTGGACCACTGCTTCTGTCACTGTAATTACAAGTTACGTTTTAAGAGACTGTAAAGGGGTTCTATTTTTTTTGTATCGGGAGCACTGAAAGCAACAATTTGTACCATTCCAATTTTGGTTTCTGCAATTCCTCTAAAAACCAAGTTTTAGATGACATCACTAATCGCAAAGGGCTTTTGTAATCAAGCATATTTTGCGATTAGTGGCATCATCAAACATTGCAGAGGACAACATACTTGAACATGCAACAACATACAATAACATGCAACAACAAAATACCACAATATGTAACAAAATACCATAACATGTAACAACATGCAGTAATATACAACAACATACAATAACATGCAACAACATACAATAACATGCAACAACATACAATAACATGCAACAACATACAATAACATGCAACAACATACAATAACATGCAACAACAAAATACCACAATATGTAACAAAATACCATAACATGTAACAAAATACCATAACATGTAACAACATGCAGTAATATACAACAACATACAATAACATGCAACAAAATACAATTACATGCAACAAAATACAAAACATGCAAAAAATTACAAAACATGCAACACATTACAAAACATGCAACACATTACAATAACATACAGGAACATGCGTTGGTGTTTCTGTTGAAGTGGGGGCATTCCAATCCTAATATAAGCCTATTTGTACTTACCGAAAGGGGGACAACAAAACAATATGTTGCCCGCTGAAACACAGTTTTGGAAAGGGAGACAGGAGCTTTGACAATGAGCATTGTTCGACACGGTCACTGGAATACACTCTAATGTTTTTAAAGCTTGTAATTTAGTAATTCCCTTAGCCGCTTCGACTAACGTATTGCCATTTGATGCGTGAATTGTTGAACGTGGTTGAGTCACTGGTGAACCACGAGCAATATAGGGTCGTCCACCCAACACTTGAGAAGATGCTGCTTTACCACCAGATATTTTCACAATGTCTTTAAGTACCTGTAGATTAGAGCTAGCTGATGGCGTGGTTTCCTGAAACGAAACCCCTACAGGGGACAGCTGTGATCCGTACCCTGAACTCACTTGACTCGGTGCCATTGGATACTGCCCTACACTTCCCGAGTTTGGATTCGAAGGCACAGATCCTCTACGAAAGGCATAGCCACCATTTTCGCTTAACACATAAGATCTGGGATTGCCTGGCCGCGAGGGTTCGACAAGAATTTCACCAGGTTTTTGGACTGTAGGCTTTTCACTAGCAACAGATGAAGCTGGGTCTGTTGCATTGAATTTGTCCACCGGTGTATGGATAATCTCCGTAGGTGCTGAATTATTCCCCTTTGTTATTCTGTAGACAACTCCATCATCAATAGTATAATTTCCATTCAGTGGTTTGGGGACTTCTGTACTGGAAACGGAAACTTTGTATACTTCCGACGTCGGAGACGTAACGGAATGGACGTATGTAATTGGTTCTCTTACAACGGAAGAAATATGCATCTCGGTATTTGAAGAGGAAGTCGCTGAACCAGGGTTGTATCTTGTTCCTGCGTCCTGCTTAGGAATGACGTTCATTCCGTGGTATTGATGCGTCTGTGCAGCTTGAGGAGTGTCGTGTCGTCGTGGATCGTATCCTTTATTTTGTTGCACTTGCGTCTGAGAAGCAGCTTGGTACGAATGTGGAACGGAAGCTGCCGATGCGACCATTGCTCTTTGGTATGAGTCGTATTGCGAACCTGTGAGCGGAGTGTGTGAATCGCGCTGTTGTCGCGGTTGATCATACATCGACTGGCTTTGATGTCGCGGTTGTTGTCGCGGTTGGTCATACGTTGACTGGCTTTGTTGTCGCGGTTGGTCATACACCGACTGGCTTTGTTGTCGCGGTTGATCATACACCGACTGGCTTTGTTGTCGAGGTTGGTCATACATTGACTGGCTTTGTTGTCGCGGTTGATCATACATTGACTGGCTTTGTTGTTGCGGTTGATCATACACATTAGAATTACTAGCTGCAGTAGATTTCTTGACTTGCACTGGTATATTATTCATTCTATCCGCTTTAGCCTTTCGTGGATCGGCTACGGTATAGGTAATAGTACCGTCTGCGTTTTCCTGCATCGACAATACGACCAATTCTCCTGTAGCGTTTGTGGTCGATTGGCCCTTTGGCCCAGTGGTTGGGTGTTGATAGGGCTGCCTTGGACTTTGAGCACTGTTGGAACTTAATGCTCGTACTTGTGGTTCTTGATAGGGTTGTCTTAGGACTTGAGCACTGTTAACATTTGGTGTTCGCACTTCTTGCCGTTGCACTTGTTGTGGTTGATAGGGTTGTCTCGGGATTTGAGCACTGTTAGCACTTGGTGCTCGCACCTCAGTTCGTTGTACTTGTGGTTGTTGGTTCACCAATCTTCCAGAATCACGGGGTGCTTGCGGAGGAGCTCTAACTCGATCAGAATACGTGTCTGGAATTGCTACACCTGACCCAGCGTTGCTGCTGACTGGTTGATGAGCGTTCTGGTAATGCGTTGTGGGTTCTGGTCGTACTCTTACACGATCTGCTGTGTGATCAACGTATCTAGGCTGCGCTCGGGTTACTTCAGGTTGTTGAATTCTTCGTACTCGCATTTCAGTCGGTGTGGCAGAGTCGGGTATGGTATATTGAATGGGGTACGGTCGACTGTCAGCATGTCTCGATGGTAGAGGGGCTGGTTCATGTCGAGTATGACCCATATCTGATAAGATTTTCCCGAGTCGTCGGGCTTGAGTTCCTTCATTTCTAATTGGACGAGTTTGATATCTGTCATTTCGTGGAGGATAAGGCTCGCCTTGTGATCGACCGTATGGGTCACCAGTATTTCTGGCTGCGACAGGTTGCTGTGGTGCATGAACACGGTCTCTTGGTTGGGTAATTGGATCTCTTTGTCTTTCGGGACGCCACGGTGGGTCGGGATTTGTGTTTACAGTTCTCCTGTTGTCAGTGAGTCTCTCCAAAGGCGTGAAGCCTGGGGATTGTGGAGACAGGGGCTTAAACATATTTCTCGGTCGAAAAGGAATTCTCGCATTATTTTGATGTGTCACAGGTCTTGGAGCTTCTTCCTTGTATCGACGAGCCTCGGCTTTTGCTGGTGGGGAAGGAATTACGGAACCCGTTCTTTGGTATCCTTGCACTCGTCCGGCATCACTTGACCTAGTACGCTGTGGTACAGGCGCTTGATTCCTTCGCTTCTGAGCAACTAATATTCCATGAGAATCCAATCGCACGATATCACCGTGTGGCGAAAACTGATTACTGACTCTTAAATTCATTGACGATGGATGAGACGCGAGAGAGTGAACTTCCTGACGCTCTGATTTTGTGGTCTGATTCGCCGAAGAGTTACCTTTTCCTGAATTTGACACTTCCGCCATAAAAACCAGTCGTAAACGAAGTGGGTCCTCACCGCCAGCTCTGAGCGGTTGAATGTTCTCCGTACGTCCATCTCCGCCAATGGTTCTCCCGCCATTTTCAAGAATATGTTTTTGGACGTCTGTAAGTTGCCCGTTCAATGTTCCATCATGGCCGACAGACGTGTATGAAGATCCTGGATATCCTTGCGAAATCTGACGCTGTGTTGTTACATCGAAACAGGTCAGACCTGAAAAGAAAAGAGAGGAATAGGTGAAATGGGTCATAGTGGCAGCGCCAGCCTTCCGAGACTGTGGGTACAAATTAGGGACAGACTGGCTTAATGGGGATAGATTAAAAATGTGGCAGCTCTGTGGAAGCGTATAGGCAAGAGCCTCCAACTGAGCCTCTGAAAGAGTTCTCCCAAAGATATTTGTGAAAAAAGNGTATTGATAAATTGGTGCCTTCATACAAATATTTTGGGGTAAAAACATACAAAAATTATAGAGCAATATAGAAATACCACTGTTAAAATAGTGCTCAATACATCAATTGTAGAGCGATATAGAAATACCACTGTTAAAATAGTGCTCAATACATCAATTGTAGAGTGATATAGAAATACCACTGTTAAAATAGTGCTCAATACATCAATTGTAGAGTGATATAAAAGTACCACTGTTATAATAGTGCCCAATACATCAATTGTAGACAGATATAGAAATACCACTGTTAAAATAGTGCCCAATACATCAATTGTAGAGAGATATAGAAACACCACTGTTAAAATAGAGCTCAATACATCAATTGTACAGAGATATAGAAATACCACTGTTAAAATAGTGCCCAATACATTAATTGTAGAGAGCTATAGAAATACCACTGTTAAAATAGTGCCCAATACATTAATTGTAGAGAGATATAGAAATACCACTGTTAAAATAGTGCTCAATACATCAATTGTAGAGCGATATAGAAATACCACTGTTTAAATAGTGTTCAATACATCAATTGTAGAGAGATATAGAATTGCCACTGTTAAAATAGTGCCCAATACATCAATTGTAGAGTGATATAGAAATACCACTGTTTAAATAGTGTTCAATACATCAATTGTAGAGTTGTAGAGAGATATAGAATTGCCACTGTTAAAATAGTGCCCAATACATCAATTGTAGAGTGATATAGAAATACCACTGTTTAAATAGTGTTCAATACATCAATTGTAGAGAGATATAGAATTGCCACTGTTAAAATAGTGCCCAATACATCAATTGTAGAGAGATATAGAAATACCACTGTTAAAATAGAGCTCAATACATCAATTGTAGAGAGATATAGAATTGCCACTGTTAAAATAGTGCCCAATACATCAATTGTAGAGTGATATAAAAATACCACTGTTATAATAGTGCCCAATACATCAATTGTAGACAGATATAGAAATACCACTGTTAAAATAGTGCTCAATACATCAATTGTAGAGTGATATAGAAATACCACTGTTAAAATAGTGCTCAATACATCAATTGTAGAGAGATATAGAAATAGCACTGTTAAAATAGTGCTCAATACATCAATTGTAAAGAGATATAGAAATACCACTGTTGAAATAGTGCTCAATATATCAATTGTAGAGAGATATAGAAATACCACTGTTGAAATAGAGCTCAATACATCAATTGCAGAGAGATATAGAAATACCACTGTTAAAATAGTGCTCAATATATCAATTGTAGAGTGATATAGAAATACCACTGTTAAAATAGTGTTCAATATGTCAATTATAGAGTAATATAGAAATACCACTGTTAAAATAGTGTTCAATATATCAATTATAGAGTGATATAGAAATACCACTGTTAAAATAGTGTTCAATATATCAATTATAGAGTGATATAGAAATACCACTGTTAAAAAAGTGCTCAATACATCAAATGTAGAGCGATATAGAAATATCACTGTTAATATAGTGTTCAATACATCAATTCTAGAGCTATATAGAAATAATACTGTTAAAATAGTGCTCAATACATCAATTGTAGAGCGATATAGAAATACCACTGTTAAAATAGTGCTCAATACATCAATTGTAGAGCTATATAGAAATAACTCTGCCTTCATACAAATATTTTAGTGTGAAAACATACAAAACTTGTAGAGTGATATAGAAATACCAAGGCTAAGAGAGATATAGAAATACCACTGTTAAAATAGTGTTTAATACATCAATTGTAGAGAGATATCGAAATTCCACTGTTAAAACAATACTCAATACATCAATTGTGTATTAAGATTTCAGAACCTGAAACATGTAGTGGAATATATTGTAAAATATGAATGAACCCAAGTCATTCATATCTCAAAACCGAGAAAACTTATTTATTGCCGTAAACTTTGTTCAGGGCCCAAAGTCGAATGTATATCAGGCTATTTTAACAAAATCTAACACGAGTTCCTCTATTTATATATTTTTAAGATTTGTGATTTATGAATGAACTTTTTGTCCGTGTTGCCCTGTTTTTACAATTTTCTCTTCGTTTGCAGCATTATTACCCAATCACAAATTTGTAATTTTATAAATCCGGATGAACTCAAGAAAATGTAGTTATATTCCTTGAGGGTATTTTAATGAGGTTTTCTAAGTGTGTATCGGGTACACCTATAGCTTCCATTTGTACAGCCGAACTGTGGAGGTTGCAAAATTCCATGATTATATTATTAAGTTCCAATTTTATTCATTTTGAATATAAGTTATATACAAGTCTTCAGAAGTACTAGAAATGAACTAAAATCGCATAATCCCTTTAAATATATCTCAAACTAGAAATTTCACTTTCTACATCTATATTCCTTTTTATATAGGGCGGAATCTCGAAAAAAGACTAGTCGTCATTTTAACCTTCAAACATAGATAATTCTGTACACACATGCATTTGACGGAGCAAATTTCGACGGCTAAAAAAATCCCATTTCGGAGATTAAGATGCGATTGGTAAGATTTAAGATTTTAGGATTTCCAATAATTAACTTAGATAATGACTTCAATCAAAAATATATATACTCCATCCGAATTTTATCCAAATACTCATTAATACTTACATATTATAAGTGTAAAATGAAAATCAAATCCATTTCGGTTTGTGACTCTGATCATAATTCCTGTTTTTACCACGATCCTACAGGCCTGGTAGATATCCTAATCGTTTACATGACATGTTCAACATCACCTTCATCATTAGACTACATAATTCACATGTTAACTGACATTACCATAAAAACAAGCCAGAGACAAAATTAGCCCTCACTCTACCAGGGCTTGGCATACCTCAATTTTCAACTGACTATAAATTATCAAGAGTGACATGGCAGTTTCTTTTACTTTAGGCGCCATGACGGTTTTTAACTGGAATTTAATTGTCAATTTATAAGAGTTGTCTCGTGATCCAGTCTTTCGTGCATTGAACGAAGTTGCTAGAGGGCTGATTGATAGAGCCTACTTAAAGGAACGCCGGTGAAGAGCTTCCTACAAAACATACAGTCAAAACTTGTGTGCACTTAACAATTCTTGGAAGAATCCGTAGACTGAATCTATGCTCGGGCGCATACGAAACTACATAGGGTCCTTACATGGAACGCAGTTCACAGCCGTAAGTTTTTAAAAGGCTATGATATTTCAACAAAGCCTTCAAATCACTTTTAAAGCCATTTCTAAAACTTCATGTGATTTTAAGGCTTAGTTTAAATATTATAACCCTATCAAAATTCGACTTATAAAGTCGAAAAAGCGATTCAAAATGGTGGTGAAATATGTTCGTGCGTGTTTTTTCCATGTAAGAACAACACGTTTCGTTTGGAGCCAACGATGATCAGAGTGATTCATCAATCAACAGTCACTTAGCATTTACCCAAAAGACAATTTTTAAAACAAATTTCACTTCTTATCAACAACAGCCGTCGAATCTGTGACCCTGCAATCACATACATCTATTAGAGTACAGAACTCCATTTCATTTCAATTCATTAGTACAATGTCAGCAGAAAGGAAGAGAAGCTCTTGATGATTTTATAAACCCAATGTAGAGCAGAAAACTAGATTTTATCCATAAACCAGCTTAATATAGATATGTCTATGGAAAAGATGGTAACCGTTTGAAGTCTCCCCGACCCCTCGCCCGAAAAAACTTTTTGCCCCTGTAATCTATAGCAGTGGAAAGTGAAATTCCTTTATTTTTTTATTTCATTAGCCCAATCTAAAGCAGGGCATTGGATCGTAAAAATCCATCATTATTCATTGATAAACTAGCATACTGTGGTTTTAAGTTATGCAAATAGGTGACAGAGATGTCAAAATAAACCTGTAACAATATAAAGACGTTTAGTATCTGAAAGATAGATTATGATGATAAAACTAGGCTATATATACTCATAACAGCCCTGTAACCCATAATGAGTAATAAGTGATCAGAATTTGAAAAGTGTAAAGTTATGATGTCTACTGCATTTCCTTATACATTGACGTACAATTTATTCTTTTGTATGAGCAATTAGATGCTTGTTTTCCTTCTTCCTGTTAAAGTATAGAGCTTTCCTTTTTATTTCAATAGAACAGTTCAATAGACCAATGATGTATAGCGCTTTCCTTTTTATTTCAATAAAACAGTTCAATAGACCAATGATGTATAGCGCTTTCCTTTTTAGTTCAATAGAACAGTTCATTAGACCAATGATGTATAGCGCTTTCCTTTTTAGTTCAATAGAACAGTTCATTAGACCAATGATGTATAGCGCTTTCCCTTTAAGTTCAATAGAACAGTTCAATAGACCAATGATGTATAGCGCTTTCCTTTTTAGTTCAATAGAACAGTTCATTAGACCAATGATGTATAGCGCTTTCCTTTTTAGTTCAATAGAACAGTTCATTAGACCAATGATGTATAGCACTTTCCTTTTTAGTTCAATAGAACAGTTCATTAGACCAATGATGTATAGCGCTTTCCTTTTTAGTTCAATAGAACAGTTCAATAGACCAATGATGTATAGCGCTTTCCTTTTTAGTTCAATAGAACAGTTCAATAGACCAATGATGTATAGCGCTTTCCTTTTTAGTTCAATAGAACAGTTCATTAGACCAATGATGTATAGCGCTTTCCTTTTTAGTTCAATAGAACAGTTCAATAGACCAATGATGTATAGCGCTTTCCTTTTTAGTTCAATAGAACAGTTCATTAGACCAATGATGTATAGCGCTTTCCTTTTTAGTTCAATAGAACAGTTCAATAGACCAATGATGTATAGCACTTTCCTTTTTAGTTCAATAGAACAGTTCAATAGACCAATGGGGTATCGAGCTTTCCCTTTAAGTTCATAAGAACAGTTCAATAGACCAATGATGTATAGCGCTTTCCTTTTGAGTTAAATAGAACAGTTCAATAGACCAATGATGTAAAACGCTTTCCTTTTGAGTTAAATAGAACAGTTCAATAGACCAATTACGTATCGAGCTTTCCCTTTAAGTTCAATAGAACAGTTCAATAGACCAATGATGTATAGCGCTTTCCTTTTTAGTTCAATAGAACAGTTCATTAGACCAATTAGGTATCGAGCTTTCCCTTTAAGTTCAATAGAACAGTTCAATAGACCAATGATGTATAGCGCTTTCCTTTTGAGTTAAATAGAACAGTTCAATAGACCAATGATGTATAGCACTTTCCTTTTAAGTTCAATAGAACAGTTCAATAGACCAATTAGGTATCGAGCTTTCCCTTTAAGTTCAATAGAACAGTTCAATAGACCAATGATGTAAAACGCTTTCCTTTTGAGTTAAATAGAACAGTTCAATAGACCAATGAGTTGTATAGTTTTCCTTTTGAGTTCAATAGAACAGTACAATAGACCAATTCAATAGACCAATGAGGTATAGAGCTTTTTATTTTTGAGTTCAATAGAACAGTTCAATAGATCACTGAGTTGTATAGTTTTCCTTTTGGATATAGAGCTTTTCAATGTAATTTTATTAGACCAACAACAATTTCATTTCATGACAGTACAGAGCACTTCCATTTTATTTCAGGAGACTGTATCCCTCGCATAAACAAGGAAGCAGGCGGTGGCGTTAATGAAAAGTTACGAGAAATTAAGTGAAGTTCTAGATCAGGCTATGTATTCTCGAAACGCTGTTAGCTCTAGGATGTCCTAGATTCTTATCTTCTAACATTGATTCGAGAATACGAGGCCAGGGGTTTTCAGCCTTTTTCTTTTTATTACTCCTTTCAGGACCCTTGATCAATCGCACTACCCCTACCCCTATAAATTTTGACTTTTAAGCCAGACTACAAAGCACCTCATTACCCCACAAAACTTTCAGAATTACCCCAGGGTGAAAATCCCTGCTTTAGATATATCTATATTTAAAAAGGAAACTGTGTGACAACAGTTGAAGGACGGTGAATCTTGATTTATGAGAAAATCTCATTTTTAGTCATTTTTAGAACACGATCATGTCCTCAATGACTTCGTTTAACAATGGGTTCGACATACATTTCGAGATACTTTTTAAATTTTCACTGTGACTCATCGGAGTAGATTTGGATAGGGAATACACAATTGCCAAAAGGGATTAAGGGTGGGGGCAGACAGCACCGGGCATTTAAGAACTCGATGATACAACATTTGAAACTGCTGATCTGTTAATCTGTTAGCATATTATATAGAAAGTAAAGCTCCATTCATTTTATTTCCTGTCCACATGTAGTTAGGCCAAGCGTTCTCGGTGTGAAAGAGATTGCGCGTATATTAAGGAAAGATCACGAAAAAAGTAAGGATTTGTTGGGTGCAGGCCCAGAAAGGGGGTGGGGTGGTGACTAATACACTTGCTCGAGATCCTGAATGTGGTAATTCAAGGGAAAATGGTTGAGAACTCCGGAGTTAGGCAGTTAAGCCCAACGCAGACGAGGAACATTTTAAGCGAACAATCGTAAAAATTTTGTTTCGATCATTTTTTTCACCGTCTGCGGATTACAGAAACACGAACAAAAATGTTCGTGAGAATTGTTCGTGAAATCAAACATGTTTGATTTTTTAAAGTTGTTTGCCTCCCGAACAATTCTTTGTTCGCCGTCTGCGTTAACGACGAACATTAGCGTCGAACATTTATCGACGAAAGACCAATCAGCGATCGAAGCCAGACCACATGACACTCATAATGGCGACGTCCAGTGAATCCACCAAGACAAAATTTTGGACTGTGGAGAAGGAGCAGATTTTAGTAGATATGTGGTCGCAATCTGCCTGTTTGTTTATGATTTCTTCGCCCGACTATTCAGATAGGAACAAGAAGTACGCTGCGATGCAAGAAATAGCACAAGCCCTGGAAACAACTGGTAAATTTACAAGGTTCCCGAACACACCCTGCTCTTTACAACGTTGAATCCAGGTACGGACCCAAATGCTCCTAATTCGCCGTCTTTTTTTAAATTAATAAAATAGCTAACCCAATTTTACATAATCTTCCATTTTGAGGTCATGTGATTTTCCGTGACACTGGCGTATTGTTCCAATTTTCAATGTTTGTCGTCTGCGGATAACGGAAAACAAATATATTTGTTCGATGTTCTTGTTCGTCGACAGAAATGTTCCTCGTCTGCGTTGGGCTTTAATGTTAATAGTTGTCATTGCAGAATAAATGATTCCACGAACAAAACAAGGTAGACGAGGAAGAGAAGAGAAGAAAAAAATTAGCATGGTATGCTTCAAGCGCGACACCCGTCACTACTACAATAGTCAAAATCATCAAATACAACCAGATCAATTCATGCCTAACCAAACAAATCAGACAAAATCCCGGACAGTTGTCAGTCTATTCCCTTTTCACATAGTACCTGCAATGTCGCCATGGAGTCAAACATTAATGTCCACAGTGACAAAAAACTGTAATTGACACAATAGCATCAGAGGGGAGGGTACATTCTTATGGGCGAATGATCCATGTCCGACCAGATGACATGACAATGATAAGAGAAAGTTAACGAACGCAACATTTTTTTTTTTTTTCTAATCCAAGGGGAATAACTCATAATAAGAAACTTTCCAACATGGCGACTACCATTGCAGTACGAACTCGTAAGAGTCGAAAAAGTGAGCTATTACTTTGATTACTCTCTCCTTTACTAATAGTGGTGGCCCAGGGGTTCCTCACCGAATACTAGACATTAAATACCTAGAAATATCAGCCCTAAGATACACCGGTCGCAAATGATTTACAATTACATCATAGGAAGGAAGAAGAATTAAGGCATAAAATTGTAGTCCATTATTTAATGTGACCCCTACCTACTAATACTAGAACTAGGATTAATACATCATAGGTATGCAGTCATCCAGCCTGCCAGCAGAGCTCAGTTTCAGTCATCATATCCAGAATATTTTGAGTGTCATGGAAGGCAGAAACTTAGCTCAGCTGGTAAAGTAGATAAACCACAATGGGATACAGACAGTTGCTCACCAGATAATTGCTATCAAAGAAATGAGAAATAGGACAATTGCTCATCACAAATTTATATATTCAATGTTTACTACTTCTTTGATCATTAATAATCATCCTATTTTTATTACTAAAAATACCAACCACTATACCCATTCGAATATTGACTATTTCAGGTGACAATGTGGCATATAGTGAAATGGCATTACGACAGAATGCGTCCATATTAGAATATTGTCGAACATCAATGGCCTGTTTAGGTGGAGCATCTGCAGGAATTTTAGGTCTAACTGGTCTCTATGGATTTGCTTTTTATTTTATCACATCTATTTTATTTTCTGTAAGTATTCTTGGTTTTACGTTCCAATAATTTTACAGATTCAAGAGTCTGTGTTAAAGATCTCATTCTGCGTGGTGTCAACTGTCTTCTACCTCAGATGCAAAATTGGATTGTCATTGCACACTGCATGGCATTGGCTGTCTTCATTAATTAATTTCAATCCATGAAAATTTCTTTTTTTGCACACTGTATAGTGTTACTTGTCCTCATTAGACCAATATTGTGCACAGAAAGAAACATTATCCTTTGTCCTTAACAAATTACTGTTATTGAACATTGAAGACATTACCCATTTTCATTATGTCAATCAGGTACAGAGTTTGATTTATATTTATGAACATTGTCTTTCAGGTTATGGTGCTAATCAAGGCAGGATCTCGATGGAATAATTTCTTTGTATCAAGAAAGATTCTCTTTACAAATGGTTTACTTGGAGCTTTATTTGTATCCTTTAAAACAATTCTACATCTTAGAATGAACATAAAATTGGCCAATAAGAGCATATAAGAATTTTAAAATGATTCTTTGATTGAGAAGAACTCGGAAGTATGGATGGTTTTTTCGAGGATGGGGGGAAGTGTTAATTCTTGAAATATAAGTCATCATTATCCAGTCTGCAGTGAGTGGACATCTGACCTAGTCAAGCATGTGATTACTTGTCAGAACCAGTCTGGACCAAGTGTGCAATACGAGCTATGGTATATCAAACAATGTAATATCAAGGTATCAGATATATGAAGAGGCCTTCTCTGTCACATATACAACGGAAGCTTTTTATAATATTCAATATTCCGGAGCGTTGTAAAAATTTCGTCTGTGTACCTTCTGAGTTACTGCTCATTGTTCGTATGATATCTTCCTTAACTGTATCTTGTAGACATATGTTTTATCTTGGACGTATCCTTTTAATATCAAATCATTATAACAGGTAGTGTATTCAGTTTGCTGCTAAAATATGTCCTTACAGTCAACATTAGAAAAGATCTAGATAGACCTATATCTTACTCCATGGCAATCTTGAGTACCGTCACAAATCTCGATGAAACTATATCACACCTACCCAAGCAAATAAGAGGAAATAAAAATTCTGTGAAGAGTAACAAATCTAGATAGGCCATATCATACCCAAGCAAATGCCTATGCTAGTGCACGATAGTCGACCCATCGTCATCTCTCACCCCCTAATACCCAGCAATCATAAGTAAACATTCTGTTTTACCTAAGCATAAATCACTTCTACAGTGGAAGGGCCATGAGAAATAAAGTATGATATTTACCAAGTATATGCTTACCCTACTAGCCTTGATTTATTGTCATCTTTGGCACCTGATGTCTCTCAGTCTCTGAGTTTTTCAACTTTGCCAGTCATGTCTAGAAAATAGGGCCAAATCAACACCCCTGGTTTACATAGCTGTGGTTTGTTTTCTATCATATTTTTTCTTAACACCTATTAGATTTTTATACGGAATGGTCCATGTTTACTAGCATCTTTATCATCTTCATCAAACTAGGAATTAGTCTTCAGTATCTAGTGGCATTATCATGATTCAAATCATCCTCCCATAACTATAGCCTACATGATGTTATTATCATCTGTTTTGATAAGTGACACAGAACAGATTTTTTATGTTGGGCAGGAACTCATTCTATGATCTATTTTGCAATGATTAGTAGGGCTGGGTATCAATTAAAAATTCTAAATAAATCATCTAATTATTTAACCATTTTATTGTTCATAATTCCAGCTACATGCATCACTTAGTTAGAAGGAAGATCTAACAACCAGTTCGTCTACAAACATGTTTATTTTATCAATCTCCATTTTCCAGATCTTTATTTCTATTAATCTTATAGACAAAGGATCCAGATAATCAATATTAAAGTTATTTGACATCACCTTCATGTCAATTTGTTATTTGATTGTAGACGTATGACATAGATTTTCAACCTGAATATGTTAGGGTTATAGCTGAATTCCACAAGCTATTCAGTTGAGCTCAATGTGTGGTACATTGTATATCTGATTTGTAAAGAATTGAAATGAATAAATTAAATGAATGGTGTACATAATATTATCTTGATGTGCAATAAAATTCATTTGTGTATCTGTGTATTGTATTTGTTTCCTGTTTGTGGGCAATATTCTTAGGCGGAGCAGGGATCACACCCTATTTAATTCACGTTTGAAAGCAGCAGTCCGTAACTACATCGAGTCAAATATCGTAAAAGTGGATACCGTTTGAACTCTAGAGGATTTGTGACTCCTAGACCGTAGTTACTGCCCTGTGATTGCCACCGGCATAAAAAAAAAAAGAGATACGAGATATAATGGCATCTTTCCATATTTTTTAATAATAATAATATAAATGGACATTTGTTGCTTCGGATTACAAAAAAGAAACCCAACTCAAATACAAAATAGTTCAAATTTGCATAGCTTTCTTTTCATTAATAGTATTGCGTTGAAACTGGCCATCTTCACAATGTCAAGCTATTAGAACTGCGTCTGATATCTTGACTGCAATAGTCACCTTTCTTGTATCACAGAATACTGCATTACGTACAATCCAATCAAATCGCTACAATCTGTGACACAAAAAAGATTGCTTTTTGCTATTTCAGTCAAGGTATAGGACGAAGTTTGCAGTACCTTGACCATTGTGAAGATGCGGTACGGCTTATTATGCAGGATTGTCGCTACAGTAGAAAGTAGGGCTCCATGTACTTCGCCTATTTGCAGCTTTAAAGTAAAATATGGCAATTCGACAACACAATCAAAATCTTATCGGGTTTATCTACACTACGAATCATTTCATTGCTCTCTCAATTTGTGAAATTATGTCTTTTTCTTGGAAGGGTTTCTTTTTTCGTTTTCGCTCTATAGCGTTCTTAACATGTTCTTGTATATCGTCTAGAATGGCACAATATTCAGGGCTACCGTTTCTCATAGCGTGGGCCTTCCTTAACACATTTTTCTGTCCACTTTTCAACTCCCTGAAAAAAAGAAACAAATCTAATATTTTACATCATATATAACTGTATGGGATACACCAGCCGAATTATTCAGTCTTAGGTTTGGTAGAGTTGACAGATGAGGTACTAGAAATTGAATTGAATGCAGCATTACATATCATCCTTTTCCCCGAAGGTCTATAGGGTTTAATCCCGGCATAGGTGGAGATGAAACTTTCGGATCTTTCGACCTTTCCCCTTGGCACGTCGGATGGGATGACATGGAAAAAGCGTCTAGTCGTTAGGACGGAACAATAAACCGAGTCCGCGTATGCTATAGGCTGTGTACGTTAAAGATCCCATGATAGTTGGAAATCGAAAAAGAGCAGGCTAATGCTGCTGTCCTTGAAAAATTATCTCCTTAATTAGCCTACACGGTGCAGAAAAGTAGGACGTAAAACTGTATTCATTTAAATTTTTTTTTTTGCCGACTTAATCTTATTGTTATATGATGATCGGTCATTGAATAAAAGTTGACCTATCTGGAATTTGGAACGGATAACCAGATTTGGAAGCATTCACGCCAACTGCAGGTAGACGCTGGAGTCAAAGTAATACAGGGTGTCATATTTTCTTGCTACGATAAAAATTGGAGGGGGGAGTTATAAGTTTTGGGAGAAATTTTTGACCGTCGGCGAAAAGATAATTCTACAAGCCGCATCAGACAGCAGATATGATTCACTTACACTATATCAATTTCATCGCTTTCATCTGCATCCAACCTTTCCATTAACAGTCCTAAAGCTCCTTGTGATAGTGGTAGATTCATGGCCTGTAAAATACAAAAAATAAATTATCCATGTTCAGAATCAAGTATAGCCTATATCGCTCTTGTATGCACATGATATATATTTCTATGAGGCCAAAATTTATGGGTAATGAGAATATTTACTAACCTGTTATATTTTGACAATCGAAAAATAATGTTATGTTGGATACTGGGCGTGCTAAGGGGGCATCAAGCTTTATTACAAACTGTGTGTAATACTTTAACATCCTTAGGCACTTTTCTTATATCACGGAAGTTAGATTGCCTGTATTCAAACATTCAACCTAATCAAAACACTGCATTTACGAACATACAAAAATGACCAATGTTGTGAAACTTTCAGACGCAGTAATACATCATGAAGATGTACAAACATACAAAAACACCGTTTCTCACCTGAAACGCCTTCATCAGTTCTTGTCGAGTAATAGTCCCACTTTTATCAGCGTCAAGCACAAAGAATAGATCAGTTAACCTTAGTTTCTTCTGTCTCATGAATTCAAACAGAACCATACACGGGTCGTAGGAATCCAGTGCCGCTTCCGGCTTCTCCGTGTCAGTATTATGCAAATTATTTCCATGTAGAACTTTGATTGGTCGATCGTCGTATAATTCTGCTAAACATTTCATAAACGTGCCATTCACTGGAATTTCCTGAAAATTAAACAACGACACTTGTTCGTCTCAATCTAGCGCCCTGGTTCCAATCCTGGGGTGTTTCAGAATGTTTTGAATTCCCATTGTTTTGGGGTGTGATAAGATTTGATTGATTGCTCTGGGAATGTTATGGCTGGAAAGGTTGGGAACCAAGCTCAACAAAACGTCTGGACAATTCGAATGAACAAACTTATAACCAAAGGTTATATTGTATCTTTCAAATGTTTTCGAGTCGCTGTTGGAAAACTACCTACAATCACCTTCCTCCCCTCAACTTTTCACACGACCTACACCCCCCCCCCCCCCTCCTACTCTAGCTTCTACCTCACGACTTACCGTCAAATCAATCTCGTTGATAGCACAGTCTGGTGATTGTTTGATAGCAGTTAGCATAGCTATGGCTCCTCGAGTTGTTATTGGGTTGGATGACAGCTGGAAATAAAAATAATTTACTTGCTTCAATTACGATCTAGAGTTCAATTATCTCTTCTTATAACCATTAATTGATGTCACGTATTATCTTGTATCATGATGTATTCTGCCCAAATAGGGCGAACAATACAATAAATATCTATCTATCTTTTATTGAATATGTGTTCAAAAACTTAGACGCTCGGATAGTCCTAACTAGAGAAGGTTTAGGTAGCCGTTGTAAGTACCCAGATAAGTGGTCCGGAACATCTGCCTCTATTCCAGCCTCTTATGGATATTGATATAGCTATCAGAGGCTGGAATAGAGACAGATGTTTCGGTCTACTAGATAAGAAGCTCAGATATTCCCGACAAGCGCTAGTCTTGAACGTATTGTTTAGGGGTTAGGATAGTCCTAGCTATCGCCTGGCAAAGAGACTCGGTATAGCCCGGACTACCGGCTAGCTTAAAAACTCGGGTATTCCCGGCTACATGAGCAATGAGCGATTTGGGGATTCGGTGGAGTTTCTATGAGAGAAGGGGGCCACAAAGGTATCAAGAGGGTCAACAGACAGGACTTTCAATGAAATGGAAGTGGATTGGCGTGGTCTGGATTCAAGATCACTCACCTTAATATTGCGTAAAGTTTCGTTTTTAACTAGAGCATTAACAAGTGGTTTAAGAGCTATGAAGTCGATTCGGTTACAAGTTAAATCTAAGTTTTTTAAAACTCGGTTTTCCTGTAGACAATGTTCTAACGCCTTACATCCCTCTCTACCTAGACCATTCCACGATAGATTCATATTCTCCAGCGTTGCATTCTCCTACAATTCAAAAAATATATGTCAAACTAAATCCCTAACCCAGGAGTGAAAACCAATTCTACTGAAATTTGCTGTCAATTGTACTTTTAGGTTGTCAGAACGGGGCTATAAGATTGTATTAAATTTGTCTACCAATGGCAATCAAATTCAAGATGCTATATACATGTACTGCAGATATATACTCACCGCCAATCCGTCACAGAAGGCCTTGGCCCCTCTCTTTCTGATGCCATTCCAACTCAGATCTAAAGACTTGAGATACATATTGTCTCCTGGAATATAATTTCAAAAGTTTAAATCCTAATCATAAACACAAAATCCATCAAGCATACAGTTTATGATTAAATGTGTCCTCTCACCATAATTGGTTATATAAATCCGAACTTACAGCCCAACTGCCAAGAGAGTTGCGTTTGAAACTTATGATCGCTATTCTTATGTATTCGGAGGTTTGTAAATACAATGATTTGATTGGATTTTACGCTAGTTAATACAGACAATCAGAACCTCGACAGAAAGACACTATTAAGACATTATGGCTTATTGTTTAAAGGCTTTCTATAGATTGGCTGTATTTGCTGGCTTACAATCCAATAAAATCGCTGTATTCCTTGATACAAGAATAGTGGCTATTGAAGTCAAGGAATAAGACAAAATTCGTAATAGCTTGACATTGTGAAGATTGCCATAAAATGGGTGTCTCAAATGCAAGAAAACTTCATTATAGTAACCCCCTGTATAGAACACTGTCGTCTGACATTGCATTTTAGATTATGCGCCCTTTTCTTTCGTTCTGAATGAAGTTCGATAACTCTACTTACCTATCATTGAGCCTAGAATTATCGCCCCTGCTTCATCAATACCACAGTAACTTAAACTTATCTCCCTTAGAGATTTATTGCACTACAATAAAAACGAATCAAAGTTTTACGTTATATTTTTCTGAACCATAGTGCACTTGGGCACTATGCAACGTTCCATGGGCGCAATATACCAGATCAGGGTTTTTTTTGCCCATTCTCAAATGTCCATGGTCGTCAAACTACAATGATGCAGTCTGTATGCAAATGGGTGTCGCTAATCTCTTGGGGGCTTCTTGAGCACAGTTGATAATTTTAAAAACAAACGTTCCTTCCTTTATTGGTCAACAATGACACATACAACATTTCAATCATTTTGAAATATGCTTAATCTATGGTGGCTTAAAAAGGCAAAACCGTGCAAGTGGCCACTATCAGCTACCATACTTGTGAATTAAGACTGTATTGTTTGTACCTACTTTGAGGAGGTTGACCAACTGTTTTATATTTAAAACCGACAATTTGTTACCTGCAAACGAAATTATTAAAGATTATAGACTACGATTGTACACTCTACGATGCATTTGGTATTTCAACATATTTTTTCATATTAATATTGCATGCTCCCATTATAGCGGTAATGAACGCTATAGTTCAATAATCTTAAGCTTATCTTAATCTATATTCAGTGAACGAATTAAGTTATCCTATTAACGTGATAGATATTTCTAATAATGTTTCTTGGGCAGTGGCTCAACTAGTTGGGGACCCATGAACTTAAGCGGGTCGGAGACCCTCTCCAGGGCATTTATTTTTAACATAAATGCTCTCTTGCACTCCGAGACCCCTCTGTAAGTCAATTTAATGCTTGTTAATGGACAATTTGGAGATTAGGACTTAGTGCAACCAGTCCCTATGGTAGTTGAGCCACTGATTATAGGCTTGGGGGGGGGGGGGGGCAAGCCCATGACCTAATGGTAAAAGTAAAACTAATTTGACTATTTGGTCGTAATATTGCAGACCACATCATCCCATGTAAATTAAACCATGAAATGGGCCAGTAAAAAATTACCAGATAAATCTAGAGTCTGTAACGTTCTGTTCCTCTCTAAAGATTCCAGGATCATTCCAGTACCATCTGAACTCAGTTTACAGTATTTTAATTCCTGAAATAGTGGTTTAAAATACAATGTATTAGTTCTGAACAAAGCATTTGATTGGTTAAATCCTTCTTGGACAAATAACTTATCGTTTTTATAATGTCTACAGATCCATGTAACAAATCGAAACGAAAATATTTGTCACCGTTGTATGCACGTGCATATAGATAACCTTTTACTCTATGACCTTATAATATTTAAAATGCACGTACATGAAACGTGTAGAAAAGAGTCCTGCATCATGTTCTCGTATCGCTAAAGTATTGTACAACATTTTCGGCATTTACAGCTGTACACACTGACAACGGCAACATGTTGAAAAACCAATGTTGACGAACTGTTGTCGCCGTGATTTGACAGATCCAAATTTTTTTTGCGCAATTTGATGTGATACCGAGATGTTACCCAACATATTGCCGAAAATGTTGTCAGTGTGTACAGTACTTAAGTAAACTGGGAATACATGTATACATATACATAACCGATGACCCTTGACCCTTTGACCCTGTAACCTTACCAGTTTGACTATTCCGTCATTTCTCTTCAACATTTCACCAACACTCCTGGCGCCATCTTTACACAAAATATTTCTGGATAGATCTAATTCAGCGAAATCGTCTGTTTTCTAGTTATATATAAAAACAATAATGTGTATTTGACTAGATATTTGGCGAGGGCATAAAATGTTATCAAAAAAACAAGACCCAGTGTGCTTGTCTGTGTTGGTTCACCTTCACAATGTCAGGGATATTACGAAATTTGTCTTATACCTTGACTACAATAGTCACTGTTCTTGTATCACGGAATGAAGCGATTTGATTGGATTGTACGCCAGCGAACACAGCCAATCAGAGCTAAAAAAGACAAAAAGGCTGTAAACATACACGATACAAGAAAGGTGGCTATTGCAGTCAAGATATTAGACACAGTTAGTAAAAACTTAACATTTGCGAAGAAGTTGTTTGTTAAATGCTAAGAATGCCCTCGAAAGCCGAACATCGGAAAGGAATGGGCCATAGGAACAGGTTGAACAAAGTCCGCGGGTCCCCACTTCTGAGGGGACTGCAGCCCTAGAAAATAAATGCAGGAGTCCATATGTTAAAAAAACAAATGTTAATACCCCCCCCCCTCCCCCTGGTCAAGTTGAGCCACCGGGGCACTGGATTACTTACCGATAACAATACACAAAGAGAATGGATATCTTTCCTTGGTAATAATCTATCACTGAGGTTCAATGTGGGTGAATTTAGTTGATCTCTGATACATCTTAACGATCTTTGTCCTCTTTTACTGCAAATATCCCTGTACAGATCCTCAACAGAGTATACATAGCTCCCTTCGTCTTTAGCTGGTTCGTCTAAAAGTTTTATCAGAAAAGTGTTTTATTCTCTATCATGCCCGTGGATAGATTTGATATCCAAGTAAGATATCCGAAGGGGCAAGTAATATATCTGGAGGGGCAAGTAATATATCTGGAGGGGCAAGTAATATATCCGGAGGGGCAAGTAATATATCTGGAAGAGCAAGTAATATATCCGGAGGGGCAATGCAATTTGACACAAAAATAAGATGTAAATGGTCCGTTTCTTTTTTTCTACAGATTTCTACACTTGTAGCTTAGTAAGGACATCTTTTACTGAACGGAGGATTTGATTGGTTAACTTTTACAAGTAGAACAGAAATGAGTCAGATTGTGGACGGCATTGGCAAGAATCATCCGCAAAAAAAAAAATGGTGAATACTAAGAAAAGCTGTGATTCTGCTCTCAAATAATCAAATGATCGGGATATCATTTATCTAAAAAAAATAACAAAAAACTGACCTTCAAATATGTCGTCGTCATCAGTATAATTGTCGGCTATTTGGTTACAAATCCCAGTGAAAACGATCTCCTGATTTTTAGTTTGTTCATCTACTCTGGACGAATTTGTTTTCTTCGCCGCCAACAAGCTGCTGAAAGGTGACTGTGAGTTGAAAGACGGTTTCGAGAACCTGGATGCAGTATCCACTGCGTATTTATTCATCGTACGGCACTTATTGATATTACCAATGAATCGAGCAGATTCTAATCCTGATAGCTTGATATTTCCAAGAAAGCGAGCAGAATCCAGTCCTGCTTGCTTGATATTTCCAACAAAGCGAGCAGATTCACCACTAGGTAGCTCTCTGGGTTTCTCTTCCGCGCTGGGAATTCTTGGTAATGCTACGGTCCAGTTCCTCAAAGTTTCGCCCTGTCCATTGCTCTGCGCATTGGATGATTTCTCTCGTCGTGATCTAACTTGCTTGAAATATTTCACCGTACACATAGGATTACGAAACCCTTTGAAAGATTTGATACCTTCCGTCATTTTGTTTAATTCTGGACGTTCCATTTTGAACGAGTGTACATTAGATAATAGCTATTTTTGTTAGAGACGGGGAGACGATCAAATTTGACACTACAACAATCTTTTCAGGGCTAATCTACTTAGCGGATAGGGTCCATTTAATAATCCCGTCCCCACAAAATATCTTAATCCTTTCAAGGTTAATGAGATAATACCCCCTAATTTCTGATAATCCTGTATGTCTATTACAGGCGTAAATGACACGGGTGGGGTAAAGGGGCTGAGGCAAGGCCGGCTCAGCCTCTTTTCAGGCACTCGGTCCCCCCCCGTACAGCTCTGGATATGGGTACTGTCCCTTTATTTGCTTAAGGGCATAGCGATGGGAATTGTTTTGAGTAAAAAAAAAATGGGATATGAGGATTAATGAGATTTGCCATGTAAGCTCTGGAATTTCGTTGAACTTAAGAGAGTCATATCAAAATATATATAGAAGAAGAAAACTTTAGCTTTTGCATTTCATCATTGTCTTGGGTTGTTAAAATTTTTCTTGGAGCAACGACGCTAAATTAAGGCGGATTTTAATAAGGATATTATTGAACCCTAATCGAACGCAAAATACTTCTTACGGTGCCATTTGTGACAGTTTTGTCAAGCAACATTGATTGACCAATCAAATCTAGATTTCCATAGTTACAACCAATCAAAATTAAACAAGTATTAGCCTCATTTTTTTAGCTTTATTATTATCATTTTTGCCAATCTCAGAATCGATCACCTCTGAAAATGCTGAATCAAATAAAGTTTTAAATTGTTAAGGGTTAAATAATACGTAGTTCAAGAATTGTATATAAAATTCACATTGGTCGGTTTGTCTTCTCTGGTCGATTGTGCATATTTGCATCGGTCAGTTTGACTTCCTGGCCGAGAGTGTCGGAGATTGATTTAAACTTCAAAGTAACGTGGGACTTGCTGAAATCTTGATTTTTGAAGTTTCAGTTGAACGTAGAATGGTTATACCAATTTGTATTTAGAAATATATCGCTAAAAGTAACATTTATGTTGAAATCGTGAAATTTGCCTTCTTAACTATACAAAATTTTGACTTGAAAATGTAGAGTTTATTAGCAACCGTAACCCGGAATTTCCCCACATTTCCGGTACAAGAACCTTGATTAACAAGACAGATTCTTCATTAGGTGTTTCATAGTATGACAATAGTTTATGAAAAAGAATTACATATTTGACGAACGAAAGTGGTTCTGACACGTCATTTTGTCGGTTGGATTTAACTTCTTTCACAGATACCTAATAAAATGCCGAAAAAGCCTGCCAGAAACGCCTTTTATTTCTATATGAAGGAGCTGGAACCTTCTTTGCGAAAGGAGGGAAGAGTGTTTCCGAATGGCATGGCAGATGTTGTGCCTGTTGCACATCCCAGATGGAAATCCCTGCCTGAAAGTGAGAAAGACAGATTTGAGAGCATGGCGAAAGAGTATAAGGCAAGAATGAGAGGGGTGGAAGGGGACAAACACAAGATGGACAATATTGGTAACATTATCAGCAAACGGGTGAATGTCAATGAAGTAAATGACAAGAGAAGACAAAGAGAGAGAAGGGAAGTCACAGCCAAATGGACAGGAAAAGACATTACTGAAGAAAAATTCTATTTTATTGATTTTCAGATTCTCTGCAAAACTCAAAATGGAGACTATTTACCTTGTGAAATGGCAATAATTGAATACTCATTAGCTCGCGGAATTATTAAGAAATTCCACCGATTTATCGAACCGGGTCAAATACCAACGGGCTATCGTTACGGTTGTATGAACAGCAGCGAAGAAACTCATCAGATTCCCATAGAAAACTTTGAAAAGGCTGACAGCAACTACACAGGCATTTGTATTCAGATCGAAAACTTTATTAACCCTAATGGAGAGTTGCCAGAGTATCCTCCGTTTTACTGTGTGTTTACGGTTCGTGATAAAGTGGAGTATTGTCTAGAATGGCTACATGACAGGAGTCGTTTAGGACGGGTTAGTAGAACTAAGAAAGTTCACTGTGTTGAAGACTTGTTGATGGATCTCTATGTACATGGCAATGGACCTAAAATTTCCCAGAGTGGCTGTTTGGATGTGTTAACTAGCCACCATTGGGACTATACTTCTAAAACACGTTGTGAATTCCATGAAGAGTTGGAGTGTAAATTTTGTTCGTTGGCTATCGTTCAAAGACTCGCTTACGCAATTTCCGATTCTTTAGCAGTTCTATATCAGATTCGATTAACAGATAAACATTTGCCGTCGACAGCAGACGAAGATATTCCATGCGTCACTCTACCTCCAACCCCAATTTATCCAGATCGAAGATACGAACCTCCGCGTCACGAATCTAGGAGTGTCATGTCTCATGGGCGGGGACAACGTAATGAGGCATCACGCCCCACTCCACAATCTAGAGTCGTGGTAGATGATGATGATGATGACATTGATGATGAAGAAGAGATGAAGACAAGTTTACGAAGACCCAATGTAGCACCGATGGGATATGGTGATGGAAATCCATGGCATACTGTTGGAAAACAAACTGGAAATTCTGTTTCTGGAGCAGGGTGGCCATCTTTAGGAAGTTCAAAACCTGGAAATGTCAATCCTAAAACTCCTTCATCTTGGCAAAATGGACTAGGACCAGGAGCTGGTGTAAATGACAAAATTTTTGGTCAATCAAATATTCCATTACAGAGAGATATGATAGCACCAGGTGCCAACAGTGGTCAAATGGCTCCAAGAATGCCAACATCTTCCATTAGAGCCATGATGCGTCCATTAGGACCTCAGTCCACTGGAATACAGAGTCCAGGATTTTCAATGCGAGGAGTGCAAATGACAGGAAGGATGCCATCATCCCTGGGAATGGCTGGGCGTGGCAGCAATTTAATGGGTGGGTCCGTCCGACCCCCTGTAGGAAGAGGATATGCTCCCCCAGGAATGCTCAAAATGCAGAATCAGTTAAGAAATACTTCAATAAGTGATGAATAACTTCTCCATCCAAGTCTGTGATAGTTTCAGTAACATATCTTAATTTTAGGAAATCAAAAAACATTGTTTTGATAAATTTCAAATACTGATACCTTGATTTTAGTTTAAATCAAGAAGCAAACCAGTTTTTACGAAGCCAAGCGACCTGTGTGTGTTTCTTCAAAATATATTTGTCTTCAATGTGAAATTTTATTTGGAGAAAATTTTAATTGTAAGATTTTTTGTGATATGGAACCCAGGCTGTCTGATGTTAATCAAGGTTTCATGCTTTCCTGGAATCAAGACTGATTTCATCGACACTGCCTTTCCTGGAATAAAATATCTTGCTTTTAAATGATACTTCTCCCTGAATTATGATTATAAAACCAAAGTGCTCTTATTCAAATATTATATAGTCGGACAGAGTTATTTATACAACGAGTGTAAATGAAATATAAAGTCCTGAACTCCAAGTAATAAAAGTAAAAGTGTATGACGTTAACGTTGTATGACTTCACTTAGCAACGGGCAGTACACCGGCTGCTCAGGTATATATTACGTTAGTGTTTGGCCAGTAAACCAGCCGCTAGGGTTGAAAGGGTTAACTCCCATGTAGAGCATAATGTAATTATATGATGTCACTTTGTATCTGCCATTTTACCCACCACACTGGTATATATTGCGTAATTATGTGGTTATTATTTTGAGGTAATATATAGTGAGCAAAGATATTTCTGCACTCTTCAATCTGATTCAAAACTGAAACATTAGTTTGGCTCAAGGAGTGATAACCCCAATATAAAGCCTCGAGGTGTGTGTTGGATGCCAGATTATCAATACAGTAGAAAATGTTTAAAGTGTATTGTGCCGACCCGAACCACATATATTCATGTCTTCTATTTTCTACTGTATCGATTGTTGCGCGCCAGATATCATACTTTGCCTATTCACTGCTTAAGTCAGACAGTTCAATAACTACATTTAACTAATTATAAAATATACTTCTAGATGTTATGTATGTTAATATATTCGCTCAACTTTAAGTTGCCATGACAATCGCCATATTTATCTGACTGGTGTAGATCCAATTAACATTTGTTTTTTTACTAAAAAGATAGTCTGCAGAGATACTGTATGGTTAGAATATAAAAATGTTTGATATGTATGTAAGCATTGTAGTGCTTGTGTTTTGAATACCCCTGATGAGTATACATTATTAAATAACTGTCCGCTTTAAGTTTTTCTGTATGTTTATTACCAGTATAAATTAAAAATAGACCAAATTTTCGTTCCGTTTTTTTTATTAGCTTTTATTTTGAATATAGCTACTTCAGTTTGGGTCTAATGACAGCCCTTGTGAGAGTTCATCAAATTAACCTTTTGCTGGAGAGGGAAGAAATTTGATTGGTTAAAGCAAACGTCATTGAGTCAGGTCAAAAGTAATTTGATGAATTTTCTAGAGGGCTGTCATTAGACCCTAACCTGAATTGGCTAAAAAAAAAAACGGAACGAGAGTTTGGTCTGATGTTATATTTTCATAATATTTAGTGCTACAAGTAGTGGTCTAGTCATTTAGTTCTAGTTTCACATATTTATTTAGATCTTGCATATAACCTGATGCCAATTTGAAACTTGGCTTTTCAGCTGTGTTGATTTCTGTCACATTTTCCATTAGAACAATGATGTTAAACCTTATTCCATTTCTTATATTTAAACTCTTATATTAAACTTCCAATATGATATACTGGTCAACGTGTATTAAAACTTTATTTTTCTTTTCATAGTTTTTTTTTCTTCATAAAATCAACCCAAGATTTAAATCATTTGGAAGCTTTTCAAT